TTAAATTAATTGATTGATTATGCAATTGACACGATGACGCGATACTTTAGCAATAGCATGAGTTAGTACATAGCAGAGATATTTGCATGTTAATTAATGTTTTTATAGTATGTTATTTATCAAATATCATAAAAGGGTGGTGTTAAGAAAGTGCTTTTAAAAATAAATTATTTTCTCATTTTATAAATAAAAAAATCAGTAAAATCATATAACCTAAGATAAATGGTCACAATTATTATTTTATAGATTATTAAACAATATCTTATAATTCAATCGGAGAAATCATGCCATAATCATTATAGTTATGAAAAATGTTTATTTTCCTTATGCTTTTAAAGAAACTTGATAAATTATTATGGAGATGTTTCTATAATTACTATGAATTTTTAATTAATGGATAATGAAAAATCAATTACTAGATAAATATATTAAAGATTATTTCCAAAAAATATACAGTGCAAAAAAGCAAAAAAGTAAAAAAATCTACATCATTTATTCTTTTAGGAACTAAAGGTATTTAATGAAGAATTACACATATTTCAAGTATTACAAACTTTTTTATATATAGATAAATAGCCCACCGAGAAATAAACCCTAGTAACAATAATAATTTCAAATTATATAAATAATAAGTTCAACTATAATCTAAACAAGATTATATCCTAAACCCCACTACTTTGATGCATCATTTGAGGAGTTTCTTCTATGGGTTGTGTGCTATCTCATTTTAAACATACACCTTTAGCACAGTGAAGTGTCTCCAGTCTAAAGTGTGCCTAGAGAATGTGTAGGAAAGCTTTGCATCTCAACTTTGGATAATCCAGCTGAACTAATTTTCATCAACAGACCTCAAAAACATAAAATTCATTTAACTATTGCCATTCTTCTTCATAGATGTATCTTATATTTCTTACATTTACGTAATAATGTTCTAGCTTATAAATTGTAGTTTCAAGAGTTACAACTTTTGAATATATGTAGAACTCACATTTCTTCTCCCATAATGTCACCCACGAACAAATGTTTTGATTTTTCCACTCATTTAAATTTAAGCAAAATAAGATAATTATTAATAAACATGAAAAACTCATGTTGGCACAAGCCAGGGTCATAAAATGTAGAATGATCAAAGAACACCTTTGGCATGAAAATATCAACAAAAAATAAAAAGTGTACCCTTGGCAGAAGCAGCTAGATGTCTGTTTCCATCTCCTTTCAGGTACACATATAAACGATCCTTATTAGGGTCTCCTTCACATGAAGACCTCTGGACTGCCAACTCAAGAATCCCCTGAATCTCAGGGATCCTTTTATTCACTTCACTAACATGCCATTTCTGATCAAATAGTAAAATCAGTGAGAGATCACAACAAAATAAAATCAGATAAATAACTGAAAAGAACATACATGATGCCAAAGTGACATGATAAATAGATCAACCCAGTCTGCTACTTCCATGAAATGATAACACCGCAATGACTGCAGGTGCTCTTGCAACTTGAATCCTTCTGTGAGCAACTTGATGGTCAGCTTGCTAATATATTTATATCTAATTACGGTAAGTAAAGGAATTGGGGGAAAAACTTAATTGAAGACCAATAAACATGAGAAGACCTGGACAATCCTTCTGTAACTTAATTGACTTACAGGAGAAGGCAAATACGACAGGACAATAAACATACTGACTCCCCAAGAAAACTTAATTGAAGACCATCACACTAGCATCTCTCTGTTTTACTTTTAAGCTATACTCCCATCCCTAATATCCCACTTTTTCCGGAGAGGCTCGACCTGGACAGCTGAGAACACGAAAGAACAGACATGAAATAAGATACAAAGAGAAGACTCGAGCTTAATAAGAAACAGGGAAGGAAATCAACAGTATATCAAAGTACCTCTCTATTTCAGTCACCTGAATAGAAAAAGGTCAAAAAGACAAAAGTTGGACTCAAAGTTTGAAAGAGAAGTCGTAGCTAGGAAATATGCAGACGGAAGGCTTAAAAGTACAAGATAATCAACTTCAGAAGTTCGTGTAGCAAAACATTTGAACAGAGCAAATTGGGCACATTAAGTGCTGCCTCAAGTTTGTAAATCCCTGCTGATGTGCAGACAACATTTGGTAAGATTACAAAGCCTAATAATAATCATGGGAACCTCAGAAGAATGGTATTTCTATACTAAGTTGTCTGAAGCAGTAGACAGGTTATAGTTTCTATTAGGCTCTTAAAAGGAATTCTGTAATGCTACCACAAATTTATATCCATTGCATGCCCAAAATCACAAAACACAATTATAAGGATACTGCAGTGAAATCTCATCCAACACACATCTTTTAATGACAAAATCCAGCGGCATATCAGCTCCCGATACCAATAAAGTTCTGTGGTCTCTTACGGTTCTGCTGGCACTCTTTCGAGATCTACCAAGCAAGCTCTCCCAAGCACTCCCACCAGTAGCATTTTGGGACAGCAACTCTCTCCCATCACTGTTCTTTTTATGCAGAGATGAACCATCAATGCACAATTTGGCATCATTCTCCATAATAGCATCATTCTGATCCTCTATGCTGGCAGCATTGCTAGGATGAACAGAAGCAGTAAGAATTTCAGTTATTTGAGGAACTTCATTCTTCAATGGGAGTCCCTGATCACCAGCTAATTTGATTGCCCATGCTCTCAGCGGATCTTCTACAGAAGTGAAGTCAAAGTGAGAGTTCATAAAACTTGCATGGCCACTTTCTCCAAGTATAGTTCGCGGAATACCAAAAGAACCTCTATTTAGTGTTGGGTTTGCACTGAAATATGTAGAATCGTATTTCAGATAGGAAAAATGCAAGTCAAATGTTCTCAGGGAAGCGCGTGTTAGACAATGATGCTGATCAGCACTGCCGACACAGGCGTTGGAGGCATTTTCAGGGCCATTCGAGTCACATTTTAGCAATCCATAATCCATGTTCAGCTCCAATCCCTTATCAGGTACAAGTGACCATGTACCATATTTTCCCTGATTGGTGTGGTAATCGTATGAATATAGATCATCAACAGTACTCGAAACCTGGTTGTCAAGAGCTAGAAAGAGTTTTTGCTCATTAGACCCCAGGCATGCTTGTTTGTAGGAATGATATGCAGCGTAACCAGATCTACTGTTTCTTTTGAACGGTAGATCTTTCATAGAGCATGAGATATCACTTTGGTCGAAATTTTGCATTTTTTTGTCAGCAGACAAACTCAACGAAAAATCCAATGCAGATAAATAACTAGGCACCGGATACGGAGACATTGAGAGCACCTCTTCAGCTTCATCTGCCTCCTCGGAGCTTTCCGAGGATGAGTGTTCAGATGACTCCAAGAGATCTTCAGCAGGAGACTCATCCATGATGCTTGACATCTCAGAACCCATTATATCCTCAGGCCTGTTAATCAGACTGAACCTTTTACTCTTTTTGTTTATCACTAGCATCAGCATTAGAAAGCATGAAACCCAACAAAATACCATCTATAAAAGTTCACTATCGAATAAGAGGTTTTTTTTACCAAATTAATAAGCATCAGAGTGACATTCATGGATGGATAAATGGGGAGAACTTACACATTAGGATCTCTTCTAACACTTGGTAGTGGACTCAAGTTTTCATTCTCAACAAAAGATACTTGGCGGCTGAGATTGTTAGAAAGTCTCAATGCAACACCTGGCGCAGCCTGAAAATTTGATTAATCGTGACACATATATTATGTCGAACAGAATATGATCGCTTGATAAAGGAATGTTATCTACACTGACAGTAACCATCACTACCAACACACACAAAAATTAAAATAAAATGAAATAAAGGCTATGTCACCATTCATCATGTGTAAAATATTGAACAAATCATCCATCAAATTCACAGAAATTTCATGATCAAAATCTAAGGATGACTAGAATCAGAAGACAGAGGAAACATTTCAGGACTCTCAGGACTCAGCATTTTTTGTTCTCTCTACATTAATTGGTGCTTTATATATATCTTAATTTAACCTTGTATCTAGATAAATGACGATCGATAAGGCTAAAAGATGAATACCCCAGGTAACTGATCAACAGATACATAAAATACAGACAATGGCGATATAACATGTAGCTTTACAGAAAACCCGTTTATAAGATTGGGATAACAGCATAAATCACAATTCAAAAGGAAACCTGAACAAGAAATATACCTGTTGAAAACCAAAATCCAACTTCACTAATATGTTTTCAATATATTCCAGCATTTTCTGGTAATAACGGTCTCTGGCAATTACCATAGTTTCAATAGTTCCTTTCTCAAATGAGAGTGGAAATGCAAACCATGGATATTCACTGGACAAACCAACCAAAGTTGGGAGGATTTCCTGATGAGTATCACATGCACCAACATTACTGGAAAACTCAAGCAATTTCATTATCACTTGAAGCTGTTGACCAGTTCTACAAAGTGGAACTAGGCACTCTTCAAGAAAGAAAGGCACAGCAGCTCCAAACCGTACCTGGGATAGATATAATCCACATGATCAGAGATGCTCTATAGCAAAACTATGTAATCTAGAGCTTCAAAGATGAGATTACCCGAATAATTGGCAAAGGAGAACCAGAAGGTATTCCAGGGTCACCCAATGCATGAATAGAAATATTGCTGACACATTCCACAGCAAATTCATGGTGAGGGTCACTAAATACACCATCATAGATCCATGACCTAATAAAATCAGAATATGGTTCATAGCACTTGAGAAAGAGGAACTTGAGGAGCACGGAATGGGCAGGATCAGCAACCTAAAAGAAAATGAGACAAAATCTGTTAGATAAAATGAGCAATTTACAGGGGGGTAGAAAATATCTATTAAATTTACATACAAAGACATGTGCAGACCATCCATCTTTTACCTCTCAGCAATTAATCTATCAACTTATAAGGGCTTTGTTTTTAGTGTCTATGGCACTCACGTTAGCGAGATTGATTGATTTGCCAGTTCAAGATTTACAGGAAAATTTTAAAACTTCTCCATAAGTGTAGCATCTATATCTTCATTTCTGGAAAACTTGACATTCAAGAAGAATCCAACACAAGATTTGAGAATTCATAATACAATCAATGAGATCTATCTGGCACAAACAACGTCGGTGCATTGACTTGGTTTTCAGGATAAAACAATCTAAGTCAAAACCTACAATAACAAGCATGATCAACCAAAAAGGGCTACTCTGAATTGAAAAATAGCAAATTACAAGATTGAATAAATGAAAGTTAGCTATCAGTTGAACATGACAAACATAACTAGACAACTAGCCCCAGTTACGACGACTAACCTTTAGCTGAGCATATAAGAAAGAGAGCAAAGCACCACTTCTTGGGAAGACAATGAACTCTGAGTCTGCTTTAGTCCTCAAGTCTTCTAAAGAACACTCAGGAAAGTCCTCAGTGAGATGGTTAACATTGCATAAATTTCCAAGGGTTTCAATTTGAGTCCTCAATCCCATGGTGTGAAGGTAAACCTCCAACAGTGTAACTTCTGAATCCCCAATACTAGTAAAACAGCCTCCACTGTTAGCCTTCAAGCAACGTCTTAGGCTAACAGATTCAGACAATGTATTCAGAGCAGATGCATAACCATCAATGACTTTTCCAACAGAAATGGCAAATGCCTGATTGATCAAACTGAAATGTGGTGGGGTGCACTGCCCGTCACGGGAATCACTTTTTACGGTTTCCTCGAGCTCTCTTGGTCCAATGAAATCTGGATTTGTGAAGTAACTGACAAATCTGCGGAGGAGGAATATTATGCAACCACACTGGCCAATGGAAGTAAGCACATTTCCTACAATAACATTACTTGAACAACGGGTCCAGAAATTGGGAATCCGATGAGAAGTTCTGTCTGCAGAACTATAACGAAGTACTGATGAGAGTTTTTCAATGGATGTCAAAGCTGATTCCACACCTTGGAGAGCATTCATTGCCAATCTCACCAAACTGGGCTCCTAATATAAATGGAGAAAGTTAAAACAAGAAATAAATAAAAAAAAAAAAGATAACTTGCATACTTTTATATATATGAGAAAAGGTAAACTGCACATGAAAAGGGAAAGAATGGAGTTGTAAAAGACAAAACTCATAATTTTGAGGGATATATCATACTTGTTACATTGAGCAGATTATTCAACAGGTCTTTACGTGTTAATGAGCTATATCTTTGCAAGTCAACACCCAGCTAGAGAACTCTTGCACATATGTAGAGGCTCTACTTGTGTGCATTTGCACCTTGTGGCTTAGGGGACCGAAAACCCATACATAGATTCCAAATAATCTTTCAACATTGAATATTTGAATACTGAGTCCCAAGAATCTAACTACGGAAACCAAGGCAGCTTCACTAACGGCCATTCGGGGGCAACATTATTCACTTCTTAAGAACTATAACTTACACCAACAATTCCAGCAAAGTTTGCACTAATAATCAAATAAACGACCTAGAACTTCCATGTCAATTTCATGAGCGAGAGCTAGATGCAAGACAAAAGGCATCACTGTTTTATAGATCACGAGCACATTCCGGCATTTAGCAACCGAAATTCATAATTCTCTTCGGGTACAAAATCACGCAAAACGCCCTCGAGTCAGAAACATTAGCATGTATTTAGAACAAGAGGGAAGGGAAGACGGAAAGCACGTAATTACAGAGACAGTTGAAGTAGCGTAGGAAGGCGGCGAAGATTGAGATGGCGGCCGAGAGGGAGCGCCGGACTGGTAAGGGAGGGAGTCCCAAGATCTGGGTGGGACCCACGGATCATCGAGCTTCAGCTTCTCCAACAGAGAATCCATCACGGATATTGACGAGTCCACCGCCATTGCGCGGCACGCGCCGCCGGGAGACGAGTAGAGTGAAGCCGGAACAGAAAGAGGGAAAGTGGGAAAAATTGAATTGGGATTTGATTTCACAGCGACTTTTTCAAGCCCCGTCTAAAATCGCTTTACAATTAATAACATTAACTAGTAATTGTTAAAAAAATATTCTTAAATTTTAAAATTAATGAGAAAACTAAATTAAATTTAATTACAAAAAAAATATATTACTATATATTTTAGAATAATATGTGTTACTTATGACTTACATGTGTTATATTATATTAGTTGTTATAACTTATATCATTTAACTACTTGAAATATAAATATACTAGTACGTAACCCCGTGCGATGCACGGACTGTATATCTTTTAGGGTATAATATAAAATTGAAGTGTATTGATAAATAAAAAAGTGAATATTATAAATTGAAGTGTGTTAATATATAAAAGAGTGATAATACATAAGGAAATTGTCAAATAAAAAATATGTTCCTAAAAAAAATAGTATATTATTAAAAACTTCATTTTACACAACATTTTGATTACTGTGCAACTCGATGTCTCACAAACTTATATTTTCAAAACATTTCTATTAATTACACACGAAACAACAACATATATTTGGTCATGATTGAAAATTAATTATTGTTTATCATCATTGATACAAAACTATAAGTAGAAACTTGTGTCGCGGAATTTAAATGAAAACCTAAAATCGAAAGGATTTATTTATCATATGATAATTTATATGTCAGTTCGAAAAATGCTATTAATTTATCATTTTAATATCGACTATACTCGATTAGCTAAATAATATTTACTAATATTTTTATACTTTTTTCATTATATAAATGAATATTAAATATGTATGCTTAAAATACTAAGAATATATAAAATATTATATTACATATGTAAGATTATCTAAAAGTATTAGATGTGAAGTCGTCTGAAGTTTTTTTAACTTATTTTGTAAGTAAAACATGTTTACATACACTTAAGTTTAATATATACATATATATATATATATGTGTGTGTGTGTGTGTGTGTGTAGACATCTATCGGATGTATAAAACATTTGCTCAAATAATATGTTTAAAAATATATAAAATATTACATGTGAATAATATATATTACCGCCTAAAAAAGTATAGCGTTGATAATATGTATTGCCGAAAAATATTCACGAATAATATGTATTGCAACATGCAAAACATTAGACATTACATCTTATTATATAAAATATAAAAAATTAGTAATTAGACATTAATTCATGCTAATTGTTTAAAGTCGCACAATTTTTAATTAGCTGTTTATATGTACGAAAACTTTTTATATAGTAGATTTATTTATATAGATATAGATTTTGCATAGTATATTTGTGTTCGGAAAAAATAAATACGATTTATTATACAAATTTTACGAATATTGTTTTTAAAAACAATTGCAAAAAACAGTACCATAGAAAGAAAATTGTGGATGTCTCACCGTAATAGGGATTTGTATATATCTCATAACAAATCATTCCTCATAAACACATCCAAACAATCTTATAAAATTGTATTTTGTATATATAACACATCTGCCAATTTAAATCATTGATTCTAGTACATGTGATAAAATAAAGAAGAATTCTCTAGATGAGACATTTAAAGATGGAAATTATTTTTCGTGTATATAACATATGTGGTAATCTTAATTAATGATTCTATAAAACTATGATTCTACTAAATCTGCTAAAATAAAAAAAGAATCCTCCATAAGTGAGAATTCATACATCGACTGTCTAATTACTTACACTAGTACTTCACCCGTGCTATGCACGGAATATATTTATTAAAATATTTTAATAAGTACATTAAAATATATATATATATATATCATAAAAAGTAAATGACAAATAAATAACATTATTAAAATAAATAACATTATTATTGAATAGATAGTACAAGTACAATATTATATGATATTACAAATTTTGGAAAGTTTCTCGATAGACAATATTTTTAGTAGTTTTCTTTTCCCCATTATCGTCCCCCCACATATTAATATCTTCAATCACTGTGGATTAGTGACTCGAGACACATCAACGTATAATTGGCATGACTAATAAACACGGGTCTTTTCATGTAAAGTCCGACATGGATAATGACTGCTCTTGACTCTTGTTGATTGTCATTGCGTAAGAAAACATAAGAGTAAATTGTCTACGCTGGAACTTGAAGGGTATCCTGAGATCAGATGGAGTTAGGGAAAGTCTTGGTACCAATACCTTACGTCCAGCATTTGATCTTGTTAGAATCTTACATTCAAACACGTGAGTGGAAAGCTTCGTTATCACCAAGCATGTTCTATTACACAGTTCAATCGAATGGTCAATGTTTCTCAACAACATGACAGGAGTCCCAACCTTTAAGTGCAATTCATGATTTGGAACACCAGAACACTTTATACTATTTAAGTACTCCAGAGTGTGCAGGTCATGCAAGAAATCAACACCACCATCGGATTTGAATATGAGAGAACAATATAATGACACAGATTGTGAATATGAGATTTATAGCGTGAATTACTCCTATTCTGTACTCGAGTACTTTGGTAAGTTTGGGTGTATTTTGTTAAGCACTCACCATTAATAATGCTTAATTTTTATTGACATTAATATGATTCAAGTATTTTGTTAAGCATTCACCGGCAAAATTTCAAAAATGATAAACTAAATTGGCGTTGTCAACAAAAGAGACATTTTGTTGTCCCTCACGGAAAAGAAATATTTAGTTGACAATTTATCGGAAAAGATACATAATCACTCAACCTGGCCGGATTAGATAATGATGTGACATTATAAATTTCCTTAATTTCCTACGTGTTATATACGTGGCGTGATCATCCTTCTCTCCAAGTACACAATTACACATAGAGAAATAAAAATAAAAATAATCCAAAAATAAATAAATAAATAATAAAAACACATCAGAAAAAATAAAATAATAATAATAATAAATAGAAAAAAAAATAAAAAAATCCAAAAATAAAAAAAAATAGAAAAAATAGAAAAAATATATTTTGTTCTATTTTGTCAACTATATATTAATAAAATAATTAAAAAACTTATATTTTGTTAATATATATTAAATATAAAAAATATTTTGTTAATATTTCGTATAATGTAAATATATTTCACTAATATATATTAAAAATACTAAAAAAAGACAAATGAAGTTCATTAATAATAATAATTATACATAATTTATTATACTATCTAATATAATACTTTACATAATATTTTATTTATTTAATATATATAAGTATATTAAATATAAATATAAATCACAAATATAAATTTATAATTAAATAACTTAAAATATATTTTTTTAATATATATTTTTGAAATCAATTAAAACATATTTTTTAATATAAATTTATATTTTGTGATTTATATTTATATTTAATATACTTATATATATCAAGTAAATAAAATTTTATGTAAACTATAATATTAGATAATATAGTTAATAATAAATTGTATATAATTATTATTATTAACAAAATATTTTTAATATATATTAGCGAATATATTTATATTTAATGAAATATTAACAATTTTTTTATTAACGGAATATTACAAAGTATTTTTTATTTTAATATTTTTTAATATATATTAATGAAATATAATTTTTAAAATATTTTATTAATATATAGTTAAGGAATAGAATGAAATATATTTTTTATATATTTTCTTTATTTTAGGATTTTTTAAATTTTTTCTATTTTTTATTTTTATTATTATTATAATTATTTTTATTTTTTTTGTTGATGTGTCTTTATATTTATTTATTGTTGGGTTTTTTTATTTTATTTTTATTTATCTATGTGTAGTTGTGAATTTGGAGATAATGATGCCACATCACGCCACGTATATAACACGTAGGAAACTAAAGAAAGTTATAATGCCACGTCACTACCTTATCCGTCCACGCCAGCTTTTTAATCTAGGTGGGGTGATTAATGTATCTTTTCTGACCAAATCGCCAACTACATGTTTCTTTTCCGCGAGGAACAACAAAATATCTATTTTATTGACAACGCTCAACTTGGTGTATCATTTTTTAAATTTTACCAGCATTCACCATTATCGTGTATTCACCTAATAACTTAATTTAAATAGGTTATTCATAATAAATATTCTTTTTAACATGTTTTTTGGATCTATGCCTAATGTTAGAATAAACTAATATGTATGGTTATGTTAGCATAAACTAATGCTGCCTTAAAAAACATAGTAATAATGACATATGTAGAGTTCATGATATTAAATTTATTTAAGGTGTCAAATGATTGGAATATGGCTGAGCATAGTTGATGCTATATATTTTTAAATATATAGTAAAAGAATATTAATATATTTCCAAACAGAATGAATTGAGTAAGTTAACTTACA